TTTTTTTTTTTTTTTTATTGAAAACTGGAAATCTGTTGTGGCTATGCAACAAACTGACATGTAGATAAAGAAACTGTTATCACCACCTAGTGGCAAACCAGGGGTATTTAAGCATATTAAATATAGTATTTGTTTGTTTTCCCACAGAAGCAGAAGATGATATGAAAGGTAAGAAAAAATATATCTGTATGTCACTAATTTAAACCCTAATTTATTCCAAGTGTTATGATTCTAAATGATCCGCCAGACATTGATGTTTATTTTATCACATAAACGAGATGAACTATTGGTCTATTTTGACCAATAGCCCAAAAATGAAGATGATGATGGATTTGTTATGAATATTACCCCAAACAAAAAAACAACAAAAAGTTTGAGGCAGCCATCTTTTTGTCATATTCTTTATGCTTAAAATTGACATATTTGCCCTAAAATTGTGATGTCAAATAAAACGATTCTTTCATCTCACTCTACTTTCTCTTAGTTTTATAAGTCATATTTACAACATGCACTATTTGAAACTTTGCTGAAAGAGCAAGTTTTCGTTTCTTTTAAATGTTTATGCAGTTTGTTAATTTTTGTTTCTCTTAACCTTTGATTAAATTTTCAGTTCATATTGAACCCTGGAGGATAATGTAAGTGTGATTTTTGAAACAATTTTTTTTAAATAAAAATAAAAATGTATTTAATAGACATGTAAAAGTAAGTTTCTGGTTTGATAGTGACTTATTATCTTATGGATGTTGGTCATTAAGCTTTGCCAAAAGTTACATTAGAAAATTACTTTTTTTGTTTACATATAAATGTGTTTTGTGTCACTTTAGTACACTTAGGGCTCACTCAAGTAAGCAATACTTATAAACCAAATTAAATCTTAAATCAAAGTCTGTATTTGTCATATGCCCTTTGTGCCTACTGTAGTTAAAGGCACGCTCCCGTCTTGACCCTGGAAGAACTAAATGGGTTTAAAAGATTTATGACTGACTAAGGATATTATCTCCCCATTCTTGGAAATCTGTGTTCCAAAGATAAATTAACTCTGAAAAGCTATGAAGCTGTTTGTGTTTGATTCTATGATTAGTAACAGTGAGGATGATCGGAAGTTTCTCAATGAGTACAAACCCGGGCATGAAGATCAGAAACTCAGGATTCTCCTTTATGGACCAACTGGAGCCGGAAAGTCCAGTTTCATCAACTCTGTCCAAACCGTCCTGCGCGGCAGACCTTACTCTCAGGCCTTGGTTGATCACACCAAGGGTGACTGTTTTACCAAAGAGGTAACTTTGCCTTTTATTTCAATATAAGTTTGATGTTAAACTTACAGATGCTTTAAGGCAAAGCAGTTATGTTTCTTTTACTTTATAGAACTAATTTATTCAATCTTTACATTTCTTTTTGTGCGATTCAGTACATAACCCATCAAATCGAAAAGGATGATGACTCGTTTTATCCTTTTATCTTAAATGACATGATGGGCCTGAGCAAACTCAAAGGTGTCTTGGTGGAAGACGTAGAACTGGCATTAAAGGGTCATGTCAAGGAAGGGTACAAGGTAAACTAGATATCTGGATTATCTTTTTGAAAAGGTGATTTTAGACCTGCATTTTTATTTACACATACAACTAATTTGAATGCGTCTCTTTTTTTTTTTTTCAGTTCAATCCTGAGACTCCGTTAACTGAGGACAATCAGTTCTACAACGCCCGTCCAACTCCCAATGACAAAGTGCAGATTCTGGTGTGTGTCATTCCGGCTGACAAAATAAGTATAATGGATTCTGAGGTTTTGGAAAAAATCAAGAATATAAGACTCAAAGCCAGTGCACTGCGTAAGTGTGTAACTTTCTTAATGTGTTGTTGGGTTAACTTTTGTAGCTTCTGTAGGTAACAAGCAATTCAATTAAGTTTATCCAACTAAATTTATTAAGTTTAACCAAT